ATGGCTCGACAGGTGTGTGCAATAGATGGAGGTTTGCTATTCACCACTAAGGATAAAATTGAGTTTTGAACGCTGAGCGGGTCATTATGTGTGCGTTGCGAGCAGTGACTGATTTCCCGCCTCCATAACTTGGGAACATAATCGATCTGGAAAGCTCAAAACACAGCCAATCAAAGCTGAGATCTTGCGCTTTCTTGTAAGCCAATTAGATAGCCTCAACTCGAAGTATTAGAAAAATGCCGCCAATCAGAAGAAATATGTGACTCTTTTTGTGGACCAGAGTAGTAACTAAATGTTCTTTGGGTGTCAGGTGTAGAAATGAATATCTTGTGACATATGTCGCAAAACATGGCGGAAATTGGACAAATATAACCTTTACAATTAATAGCCTATATCTTTTAATAGTATTAATTTTAACTTATATAAAGCAAAGCTTATTCGAGTAGTCTCAAATATAATACTTTGAAATAACCCTAATCCCGATAGGAATTGATTGGCTAATTCGGGTGCATCTTAAATTGGATGATCGAGCACCTTAAATTGGACAACCGAAACATTCCAATGCTACCCCCCTCTGTGCCAAGTTCGCAGATTGGCGTCAACACATTCCGCCTTGTGAATCAAATACTGTAGCTGTATAAAGTAGGGATAACAAGGGATATGCTTGCTGTTATTGGGATCTGGCCGTTCAAGTGACCTCGTATTATCCGGTTGTGGAGTCTATCCGGATGATGACCAATTGCAGCATGAAACGACAGAAGAGATGAACCATGACCAGGATGCTGCTGCGCGACGGGAAAATCGACGAAAGAGTGCAAGCGTGGCGGTGGATGAGGACGTTGAGGACGAGTCGCTTGTGTTAGACATGGGAGGCGATTCTCCTGGGAAACCGCAAACGACGGGAACGGGTCCCATGTTGCCGAGGATCCTTCGCACCGTCGACACGTCCAAAGATAAGAAGCAGCATGAACTGTGGGACCACATGCGCATGATCGTGTTATTCGCGTGCACAGCAGAGGCGATCACGACTTGCTTCACTCCGCGGTGGGTGCACGAGTCGACGGGAATCAACGTCAGCGCGACGTTGTTGAACATCCTTGGACCGTTCCTCGAAGGCACCGCGCAGTACCTTGAGGAGACCACGTCGCATGCTGAATGGAAGCGTGCGTGTTTTTACTTTCGGTCGGTGTTCTTGGGGTAAGCGTCCTGGTTCGTGCTTTGCTGTCGCTGTATCTCACACGTTGTCCAAGGGTGTTCACGTCGTACTGTTACATGGTCGATCACGCTGGGGACCTCGTGGGCAAACACCCGATGATCGGGCCGTTGTACATCGTGTCTTCCCTTTGCTACGCGTGCGTGGCCTTTCGTGTGGGCCAGACTTTCATGCGTGTGTTCACGACATATGTCTTCCAGCCGGACAAGCACATTCCTGCGTCCGTCGTGGGCTGGGCTCTCACGACGTTTGTGGCCGCGGTGCTCTTGGTCGCCATTGCCGGCCCTCCCGGCTTTGTTCGGTGCGATTGGCCTTCTTCTTCGCCGTCTTACCAGTACTATTGCCCTTAGAGACCCGAACGACGCGCAATTCCTTGGATCGATCCCCGTCAACGACGGACTCGAGCTCGTGATGGGCATGATCATGTCCATTTTGGCGGCGTGGCTGTCGTCGTTCGTGTCATTCGGGAGCTACGACGGCTCCATCGACTGGGGCACATGGCGATGCAACTTGGCGTCGGTGATCCTCACCGTCCTGGCGTACGGCGTCCACTACGTCCTGCCCGTGGTGGCGCACAACGTAGCCGTCAAGAAGTTTGTGTCGTCGTTCTGTGGCTCGCTCTCTGGGTTTTCCGCCACCGTGGCAGCTACGATGGTACAGCCCATGATTCAAAGGATGAGGTAGTACCCGTGACATGACACCCGTTGTAGGTGTTGGCCGACCAGAACAAGCGACCTGTGGCCATGGCCAACTTGGGGCTCAATATTGTCACGGCGCTGGCGTTCGTGCCGTACTTGCGAGCTTAATATGTGACGATGTTTTGCCGTCGAAATTATTATCCGTTCACAAAAGGGCAATGTGGAAAGGCAACATGATGACATGTCACAATGTTTCAAAGTCAACTTGAGTCATATTGACTTTTCGCTGCAACGCAACGTCATATTATGACGTTGTCGCAGACTACTAACCACAATACTAATACTAGTTGGACTGCAAACACCGTCACAGGCATACCCGACCTGACGGATTAACACGACATTGTATAACACGGGTCGGTTAGTTGATGTAGTTGTTGATAACGACGGTTTCGTTGTCCTTGGCCAACACGTTGTCCAGGTCGTCCCACCATTGCGGCAACAGACCTTCGGAAATGAGACGGAACCACGGGGAAATGAGCAGACTCGAGTCGTTCAACACGTCTTTGAGCTCGTCGCGGGCCACGTAGCGCACTTCCGCGACTTCGTTGTCGTTGAGGTCGTACTTGACGTTGGCGCGCACGAGAAGGATATGGTCTACTTCGTATTCGCTCCAGTTGTCGTCGTACGGGGCGCGGTACAGCACCTTGGTGACGAACTTGAACTGTTCCGGCTCGAACGTGTCGGTCTTGATACCCAGTTCTTGCTCGAGCTTGCGGATCGCAGCGCGCTTGACCCCCAAGTGCTTGTCTTCTTCCAGTTCTTCAGGAAAGTACAACGGATGGCTGCAGCAAGTATTCGCCCAGAAGTTGGGGAACGTGATCTTCTCCGCCGCACGCTTTTGGATGAGCAGTTGGTTGTCCGAGTTGAAAAGGAACACGCTGAACGCGCGGTGCAGCACGCCGTCCTTGAAGTGCGACTCCTTCTTCGAGATGGGACCCACGACGTTGTCTTTCTCGTCGACTTGGATGACCATTTCTTCCATCAACTTGACTTGGACCTCGTCCGCAGTGGCGATCACAGAGTCGTACACAGTAGAGACCATGGTGGGGGGATGCACGAGGGCGGCTGAAGTTTCGGACTGACCACTGCCGCACTGCATGTGTAAACCCTCTGTTACTGGCGGGGGATGCCACGGTCACTTTATCTCCTTAAATCAAACTTATTTCATAATATAGCTTGTACAGTGCGACAATTTCGGGAATCTGATGTGTGAAACGTTATACTTAAGGGAATTCGAATAAAAACACCTTTTTGATGGAGTGTATAAATAGTATAACGCGTGTTTAGTTACTTTCCTATAAAACGTGGCATCGGTTTTATTACTTTTCATCGTTAACTCGACGTACTACTATTACGTATTAGTATGTAGTAGTACTAAAAAACGCTCACCTCAGCATTCTCTACAGTAATCCAAATGTGGAATACTACGTAGTATAATGTACAAGCTGCGGAATCCTTTGAAGCATGGCGTATAGTTTTCTGCCGTCGTGCACCAATACGTGACCTCTCCATGACGTTGTATGTTTAAAACCATTCGGTTTAAACACGATCCGGTTGTTTCGGATAACGCATTCAATGTTATCCGTAGCGTTTGTTGGGGAAATTGCTCAGCAATTCGGAACTTTTCGCCACAAAGCAAGAAATTGCCCAAAGAAAGTGGAAACTTCACCAAAATTTCCAGTTCGAAACTATTAACTGTAGTTACGTTTAGAGCAAATGCGATTTTCGCAACTCTTGGTACTTCTTGTAGGCAAAGGCGGCGCCGGCCCCCAAGCCCAGGACAAGGATCACAAACGGAAGCTTCCATCCCCCGCTCGACACTTGGGTTTCTTCGAGCTTGGTCTGGAGCGTTTTGTCCACCGAGTCTTCGATCTCCTGCACCTTGGAGCCGACTTTTTCGTCCACCTAGTTGATTTCATGAGACACCCCCGTCTCATTCTCTAGAACCATAGGACGGACGTACGCGGCCGTTGACCCACTTTTCGAGCTCTTCAATGCGTCGCAAGTCGCCCTGCTCCTGCTCGCGAAGCTTCCCGACCGTGTTGGCCGTCTCTTCCTTCAACGCTTGGTATTCGTGCTCAAAGTCCTCGACCATTTGGTCGTACAGTCGTTGCAGTTCCTTGATCTTGATCAGGTTGCGCTCGTTCTTGTCTTCGATGTGGTCGGTAGACGCCGGGGCTACTCAATCAAACAATGATATATATCATCATCAGACATCCGCCACTTCAACGGCACTGTGTCGTACGAGCTTTTTCGGCCACGGTCGTGTAGTCCTTTTGCAAAATCTCGTCGTCGTGCATGGTGCTACAGCAAAAAAGCACATGACATTCTCACTTGATGGAACCTCCAACACAATACACGTACTCGTAGAGCTCCAGGGCAATGACGTCGTGTGTGTCAGCAAGGGATCCCGTGGTCGCCGTGAGCCCGATCGTCGCTTGAGAAAACCACGTCGGCGGCAGCTGGACCGTGTCTTCGAAACACGGCGACCAAAACCCAGAGTTGGTCGGGTCGATCTGGATGCTCACGAAGTTGTTCGCGAACGACAGCTTCACGCGAGACATGCTCCCCGACGCAGAGAAGGATGCGCTCTTGGCATGGTACCGCAAGTTCTTGGCATCGCATCCCTTCTTGCCGTCGGGCGAGTAGTTGATGTCATCCAACGACTTGGTGCCGTCGTTCACGACAAACGTCACGTCTTTGTGACCACCCGCTTGCTCCGCGTTCACAAATGTGTCCACAATGATCCCAAAACCAGTGTACGTCTCCTTGAACCCGTGGTTGTCGCCGTCCACGTGGCGCGGTTCCGTGGTAACCCACAGAGCCAACCCGTCGCCAAACCATCGTTCGCCTTGTCCACTGATGCGGAACGTGAGCACGATGGAGAACTCTGTCTTGGGAAGACGTGCGGCACCCAGCGTTTCCTTGCTCCACACAAAACCGCGCTTGCTTTGGCGATCGGTGGTGAGCCGCACAAAGTGCTTGTTGACAACTGCATGTCCGCCGAACGTAAAGTCGTCCGAGACGATGCGAACGCCGTCGGACGTGATGTCTTCGAAGGGCTTCTCAAAGCTAAGCGATGGCACCTTGGCGCCCCATACCACGGCGGCGGCCAAGGCCAGGAACGACGTCAACACGCGCATGGTGGTGTGTGGAATGCGAATATTGCAGTGTTGTGGTGGCGATTTTGGTTCTATTATCATTTGTATTATTTTACACGGGGGCAATTGTAACTCATTGTTTGTATCGGAAGGAGGTCAGATTTATCCATTTCAAAGAAATTTGTTGCCCCCGATCACAGAACACGTGGCACATAGGTGCTTGCTTGGTGGTGCTGCCACAACCACGTCCACAACATCCCAGCATGAGCATGGAGTTCCTTGGAGTGGGTACAGGTATTGTATACGAGGCATGAAGCAAGGGTCTCTCGACTGTATGCTCTGTGAACTAGACATGTCCTATCCTTCCTCTATGCACCGACGCATGAGCTTGCATCGCTCTTCAAGCACCCCGAACACTTCGTTCAAACTCACTCCACATTCACGTCGCCGCCATACTGTAACAAGCATGTGTCGTCGTACAGCATTGCTTGATGCATATTCCACCGGTAGACCCCCCGAGCGCTCGCTGTGTAGTACACCAAATACAGTTCTCGGTCCCATATCCATGCAAAGTCAAGAGGGGATTTTCACGTTCTTACGGCATTCCTTCCTTCCTATTCAGCCTTTTTCTTGGCTTCGGCAAACATGAAGTCGTAATCTTGGATTTGGGTCTTCAACGAGTCGCGATCTTTGGTTAAGTCGTTGACGGTTTGCTTCAAGTCCACGACTTGGGCATGGAGGTCCTTGATCTCCTGCGCCTGGTCGCCTTTAGCTGTAGTTTCGTCCAGCAGCTTCAAGTACGCGGCGCTTTGACTGTCCGCCTGCTTCTTCACCTGCGCGATTGCCGCGTCACTCGCCGCCACAGACTTCTTGAGCGACGCGACCTCCGTCTCGTACGCGGCGTTCTCCTTGAGCAGCTTCTCCAACGAGGTCAAGTCGGTCGTTCCATCCAACCCGACCAGCTTTTTCAACTGCTTTTGCAAGATCTCATGTTCTTCCAGCAGATTCGTGTAGCTGGAGCTTGCACCCTTGGCTTGTTTTTCCATGGCCCCCAAGCTCTTCTCGAGCTTGATGTTAACCACCATGCTCGAGTACAGCATTTGCAGCAGGAGGTTCAAGAACAAGCAAATCCCGGAAATGTACATGTCCCGTTGGGCCGCAAGCAACCGAATGCGGAACCCGTCGCTCACAGCTTCGTCCGACATGTGATGGTTGTATGTCGTTTGCAAGTTCGCTACATATGCATCGTCATGTCAGTATAGAGCTCGAGATAGCAGAATATCAAGGCCATCAAAGGGGTTGTTTCGCACCAAGAAACATAACGCCAACAAGGGCAAGGATGCCGTATCTATGCCGCCACATGAGCCAAGGAGCGACCATAACGACTCATGGGGAGAACTTGACGTACCCGACGGTTGTGAGATGGGATGTGGCAGTAAACACGTTCGAGGAGAGAAAGTTTACCACGGCTTGGGTCGCATGCTTGAAGAATGGAATGCACAGAAGGATGCAGATGAAGCCTTCCACGCACATGAGCCAAAACATCATCAGGTTGATGAACATCGTCGTTATGCTTGAGCCAGCTGCGATTCGGATGTGATTTCCACAAGAGAAGAATTTCAGGCGATATCCGGATAACCAGGTTTGACTAGGGGATTGTATCCCTTCGTATCCGGCGAGAGACAGGTCAACAACCCCACGAAATTTTCCAACGGCAATCTGGCCTACAAATCGCCGACGCTTGAGGTGCTGCCACGTCACAAACTTGTCCTGTTTATTGGGTATCAATGTTCAAGTACAGTACTCATGACACTTCGGCCGATCTGCAATGTGCATGTTGGTTGTCTCGACATAATGGCAAGATGATGCTGATTGGATTCCTCTGTGGCTGATGTACATTGTAACCCTCCGTACAAGTCTTTGGTACTTATCATACTTGCCAAACAAAAATTCATTTGGAGAGGATGCACTCAATCGCAAACGTGTTGGGGTCGATTGTGAATTGGTTATCACCGAGGCGCTGCGCGATACGTACATCGACAACGTCATTACGACCTTGGACGAGAGAGATATCCTGAGCCAACCCCAAGCACCACATCACCAGCGAACGACCCACTCATGAAACCGGTAATCCATCATTCACAGACAAGATGTTAACTTGATGATAGCAGGTACAGTACTGTACAGGACCCCCTCGTGTACAACATCAGTGAGGACGTGGAAGATCCACACATGGTGGTTCTTGTTGCCGATGATCAACGCCTCGGAACTGCGCCGTAGCCTGGTTTCGAAGGATAGTCCGAGTATTCGCCGTAGAATCCGTACTCTGTTCGGCCAACGCCCCCATGGTCTTGACGGCACACGCGGATGTGTCGCATCGTTGCAAGGCAATGCGAGATAGTTTGTGTTTATGCTCAGCTAGTTGAGGTCAATGGGGTACTGTAGTCCAGCGGGTACCCAACGGTCTTGGCGGCACATGTGGATTCGCTGATACTGAGCTGGACTTTGTGTTTGCATGCCGTACGAGTTGTCCCAGTACGCATACGTTGAGTTGACTTGGGGATGTAACCCAATGGCGTGGAGATGGTCTGGTTCGTGAGTGGCAAGTAGCCAGGGCCACGCTCCGTCGTGACGAAACGAGGCGTGCCGTGATCAAGACCGTCGTTGTACACGGCGCGTTTGGCTCCTGTGGGGTGGTTCATGGCTAGGACCCGAATGAGTCGTACTGTAGGTCCGCTGGAGTGTCCATGCCGTCCAAAGTAGTGCCACATAGCGGAGCCATCCAGATGGCTTTGGAGCCAGCTGCCAAGAGCGTGCAAGCACATGCTTGACGAAGCCAGCAGGATAGCAGGATCGCAAAGTATACGCGGTCAGGTTACTGCATCGACGTCATGACCATGTGGGAACTTTTTGAATAAACCTGACGTTACTGTAACGGTGTTCTAGTATTCAACAACCCCCCGACATTCGCAATGGTCGACCATTCAGTATGCTAGTAGTAGTATTACTAGAGTATAGTGTAATTCAAATTCCCAAATGTATTTCTAGTAGTACTACGTAGTAATACTATGAGGATGTAGAATAATTTTGATATTTCCTTCCTTTCGTCACACTCCGATTTGCTGGAATGCGGGCCTTTGCCTTCCTCGCCACTTCAGCGCACGCGTGCACCCTCATTGCAGTCGGCTCCAAGGCCACCATTGATGGCTCTGCCATGGTTGCCCATACCAACGATGGCATGCCAAGTCCCAATGACCTCCGCTTGGTGCGCGTGCCAGCCATGAACCACTCGAACACTTCCCAGCGCAGCGTATACAACTACCTCGTTCGTCGGGGAAACCCTCGGCTTGTGACGGCCGAACGTGGGCCCGGTTACATGCCTCGAAACGGCACCGACCAAGCTTTCTCGATTCCCACGGGCTACATTCCTCAAGTCCCCACCACTTATGCGTACTGGGATCATGATTTTGGCATGCAGAACGAGGTGCAGCTGAGCATTGGTGAGTCCACTTGCGCCGCCAAAACAGTCGGCTATCCAGTTGACGTTCCGAACGGGCGAAACCTCTTCGACATTGACGAACTGAGCAAAATCGCCCTCGAACGATGCGACACTGCTGTTTGCGCTGTAAAGACGATGGGCGCACTGGCCGAGGAGTTTGGGTTTTACGGCGAGTATTCAAAGGATCCCTTGGTGCCTGCGTATGCCGGCAGTGCTGAAGCATTGATCATTGCCGACAAGTACCAAAACGTGTGGATCTTCCACATTCTCACTGGCGCTCACAACTCAGGGGCCATCTGGGCCGCGCAGCGCCTCGGCGACGACCAGTTCACGATCGTCCCCAACACGTTTGTGATTCGAACGCTCAACTTGACCGACTCGGCCAACTACTTGGCGTCGCCCAACGTGTCGGCACATGCGTACGCGCAAGGATGGGCATCACCAGAGGAACCGTTTGACTTTACGGCGGCCTACGGGTATGCCGCGCCCAATTCAAGCAAACCGCTGTATGGGGGCCGTCGCATGTGGAGAGCATTCAGCATCGTGGCGCCGTCGGTATCGCTGGATCCAGACGTCGGCTTTCACGTCCGAGTCCCGACGTACCCGCTGTCAATCAAGCCCGACGTGGCGATCTCCCCAGAGGTGATCATGAACATTTTCAGCGATTACTACCAGAACACCACGTACGACTTGGCCAAGGGCGTGGCGGCGGGGCCATTCCACGATCCCGTCCGATACACTAGTCGTGCCAACCACCTGCGGGGCAACTGGGAGCGCTCCATGTCGTTGGCGCGCACGACCCACAGCTTTGTGCTGCAAACGCGACCGAACATGGCGGATGGAATCGGCGGCGTGGCGTGGTATGCGCAGGGGGTTCCAGCAGACTCGGTGTACTTTCCCATCTCATGTGGCCAGACCACGCTGCCAACCGTGTTCAACCAAGCGATTCGATCGAAATTCGACACCGAGTCCACCTGGTGGGCGTTTCAGTTCACGACCAACTGGGCGCACCTTCGCTACGACCTCATTCACCACGAAATCCAAGTGCAACGCCTCAAGTATACCACTTTAGCAAGGGAGCTTCAGCAATCCACTGAAGCAACCTGTGGATCGCGCAA